TCGAGGTAAAGAGGAGGGGCGAGCTGCAGCTGATAAAAATTTTTCAAGCCTCAGTTTTCGAATCTTTCTTGAAGGGTAACACGTTGGAAGAATGTTACGCCTCGGTCGCGAAAGACGCGGATTATTGGCTCGATTTACTCTATAGCAAGTGTGCGAATATGCCCGATTCTGAATTGTTCGAACTCATATCCGAGAACAAGTCCATGTCGCGTAAACTGGAGGAATACGGTGCGCAAAAGTCGACATCAATTTCTACGGCGAAAAGACTAGCCGAATTCCTGGGGGATGAGATGGTGAAAGATGCGGGCTTAGCCTGCAGATATATTATAGCGAATAAACCGCAAAGCGCACCGGTTACCGAGCGCGCGATACCCTTGGCCATCTTCCAGTCGGAGCCGGCTGTCCGTAGACATTATCTGAAAAAATGGTTGAAAGATCCCACTTTGTACAGTGACGATATAAGGGACATCTTGGACTGGAATTATTACATTGAACGGCTTGGAAGTGCCATCCAAAAAATAATCACTATACCGGCAGCGATGCAAGGCTTAGCTAATCCAGTCCCGCGAGTCCAGCATCCGCCTTGGTTGCATAAGAAAGTAACGGAGAAGAATACGTCTCATCGTCAAAAAAAGATTACGGATATATTTACTGTAACAGCTAAGACTGATGCTTTACAACAGACAGCCAACAGCATTGAACCTCGCGATATCGAGGATCTCGCAAGACCGTCAACTAGCTTCAAGAATTCACCAGTCTCGGTCGTTAACAAGAGAAAACGACAGCATGCAGAGGACGACGAAGCGGTCAGGGCCAAAAGTTGGAAGGAAGCTTTGGGTTCGCCTCCTCCCAGGGGAACGACAAGAGAAGGAAGGACTGAATGGTTGGAGTTTCATAAGAAAAAATGGGCCTTTCAGGCCAAACAGAGGCATCAGCATCGGCAGAAGAGAAGCAAGACGGATGAGAATGACGGAATCACCTGGGGAGTTATACGAAATACGAACACGTCTACCATGACCGGTTTCTTGAGACGCGCTCAAAGGAAATTGTTGGAGACCCCTTGGCAAATAGTCCAGTTGACGGAAACAGGCGAACCCGGCATGTTTCGATTATGGATACTGCTGGATACGCAGCTGCATCAAGTGCGTCTCGTAGTACCTCGGATATTCTACGTGAACACCCGTAAAGCAAGACCGGACCCAGGACCGAATGAACTCTGGAAGAAGAGCTTCAAATCGTTACCACGTTCACGTCCGGTATATAACTTGTATCGATACTCTCTGCCGGAATCTCTGTTTCAGGAGCACAGTCGGGAGCTCCTGGAGGATCTGAGCAAGCCGGAAATCGAAGGGATTTACGAGACGCAAATGTCCTTAGAATTTCGGGCCATACTGCAGTTGGGATGTGTGTGTATGGTTGATCCGCGTGCCGCGCGTAAAATGGCAGATGGAGCCGACACCTTCACGTTGGATCAGCTAGAATTCAAGAGCATCGCCTTCCAGCCTTACCTCAAGCAGACCCAATCGATCAACTATATATTCCTGTATCATCATTGGAGCTCGAATCATCAAAGAGCGCTGTGGGGTTTATTCTTAAGCGCCAGCAAGCGAGGTCACATATTCATCTTAGATTCGGTCGCTGCTTCCAATCAGATGCCAAACATGAGTACCCTGTACACGCAAGAACATAAAGCAACGTTGGAGAAGATCGGGGAGGACAACGTGAATAGATTACCTAAAACCATGCAATTTGTGGTTCAAATGGAAACAAACTTTCAACAAGTGTGCCGTACGTTGCAAGCGGCTTTGACGACGTACAAAAACGAGGGTCACGGCGCTACAATCATCATCAATCAAACCGCCCTCGACCGGACGATGCTGACTACCGAGATGCCGCTGCTCAATGAATTCCCCCTCGTCAACACGCATGTGCGTGATGTGGAAAACCTGTACGGCACCCTAGAATGGCAAAAGATAGGCGCGAAGATGATGGTCAGGCACTACTTGAAGAGCCAGCAGATCGTCGAGCTAATGGCCGAACAATGTCGTTTCTTCCACGCGCCTATCGGCAACATACCAGCGGATCCTACTCTCTTCGGCGCGGATCTGTTCTACGCCAGACACTTGCACAGGAACAATTTTGTCTTGTGGTGCTCACCTACGGAGAAACCTGATTTAGGCGGCAGCGAGAACGACGATAACAGATTACTGACGGATTTCGAGGAAAGCTCGAGCTGCGCCGCGAACAATCCAGGCACGTATTCCAGCGTCTGTGTCCAGCTGGATGTGGAAAGTCTGGCGGTCAATGCGCTGCTGCAATACCATCATATTCACGACATAGACGGGACCAGTACGTTTGTGGCCTTTCACAACCAGCAACGTCCATCCGTCCAGGTCGGCCGGAAATGTTTTCTAAAATTCATCATCTTTTCGAATTAAATAATTAATAAAAAAATTAATTAAGATTAATTAATAATCTTTGGAAAACTTAAGAATCTTCCAAGTGTCTTCTCTCTATTTGCAATGTTGTAATTGTTCATTTCACAGGATATGGCAACGGGTGATGCTGCTGCGATTATTCCCAGCTACGATGAAATCACCCTCTGCAATCCGGCGTTTAAGACGTTGCGAAGCATGGTAAACGCATGGTTGATCGAAGTCTCTGTTTACAAGAATGTATTCGCAGATTATCAGCTGATTCACTTTTATCGGTACGTTTACATTTTTTGATATATTATTGATTATTTAAATATTATTTAAATATATAATATTTATGTAAATATTACGTAATTATTATATTATTATGTATTTTATTATTATTATTATATATTATTATCTATATTATTATATTTTATATTATATTTTATCTATATTATTATATTTTATATTATATTATATTTTATTATGTATTATATTATTATTATTTATTATATTATTTATTATTATATATTATTACTATGTATTATATATTATTATTATATTATTATGTATTATTATATCATATAATTATTATATTATTTAAATATATAATATTTATGTAAATATTATTTTCTATTTGTATGATTCCAGATGGCTAAGATCTTCCAATGCTTTGCTTTATGATCCTGCTCTACGCCGTACTTTACACACCTACATGAAGAAATTATACATACAATTGATAGCAGAATTCAAGACATTAGGCTGTATTATAGTATTTGCAAATTTTAACAAAATTATCGTGTGCACGAAGAAGAGATCCGTGGCCGATGCTTTGGGCTATATGGAATTTGTTGTTCAAACCATCCGGAACAAGGAGTTATTCCATAGTATCGAAATTACATACGATCAGTGCTGGGAATATCTGATATGGCTTGACTTGGTATGTTGTTTGGACATATTTGTATGAAACTAATATTTATTTATTTATTTAATTATAATTATAATTTAATTATAATTAGTTTAATTATAATTATAATTATAATTTATTTTATTCTAAAATTTATTTGATTTATGTTTCTATTTGTTTTTATCATTTTATTCGCGATTTCTAACTATCATGATAATAAATGTAATCTATATCCAATTTATTGGACAGCACAATCATGCTGGTGTTAAAGGACAGCTATCAAAGGATGACACGAGAGACGATGAGAGTACCGAAAATGACGACGATGATACAGTAAATATTTTTAGAAATTGCACCGATATATTTTGTTCTTTAATGATTTTCTATCATCAGACTATATATTTGTAATTGAATTATTTTTTATTTAGCCTCAAATAGTTATGAGTTGGAGCTTGATGGAATGCTTGCCTAAGGAATCAGGCTGTCAGGCAAGTTTCAATGCTGTAATAGCAGGATATATAAACATGATATATCGATGTATGATTGAAAACGAGACCAATAATACTGCAAGACCTAGAAGAAGAGGAAGCCAAAGTCAGTCTTTTATAGCACCACTTGGTTTAGGTGCATTAGAGAATACAGCCGAATACGCGAAAAAATTGATATCGGGAGAAATGTCTCAAAAATTGTTCAAGTGTGTATATATTTTAAGTAATTTGTCTTAAAATCTAATAATATACTGATTAATAATTTCAATTCACTATTTTCAGAATAACGCAAAAAATACATCGGAATTTACCCGAGAAAACGTTAACTCTCGAAGAATATCCTAATCTGGACATGAACGGAAAAGAAAGTACAAAGATTAATCCTGCCCTTGAATTAATCAAAGCAGTATGCAAGGTAACAATATTATTATCAAGTTTTTTTTATTTTAATCAAGATAATTATTCAAAAAATTAAAAATCCCTACTTTTGAAAATTTCAGATTTTATCTTTGGACAAAGAAGTGGAACACGAAGTTTATAACTTGAAGACGAATCTATTACGACTGATTGGAGTCGGTAGTCACAGCGATAATGTTGAATGGAAGGAACCATGTATTTCTCTCGTCCTACCAGAAATTATATGCAAAGCGTGTAACCACACGAGAGATGTTGATCTTTGTAGAGATCAACAGTATACAATTGAAAATAACAGGTAAATATCAGATGCTCTCAATTAATACAATTTGGATGAAGATAATCTCACATTATGATTATTACAGACACATGTGGAAATGTCCTATCTGCGATACCTCCTATGATAATACGGAAATAGAATTTTTATTAATCGATAAATTGAACCGCAAAAGTATGGGTTACGTATTGCAAGATCTACAGTGTCGAAAGTGTAAGGAGATCAAGCGAGAAAATATGAATATACTGTGCTCTTGCTCAGGCGAGTACGATAATTTAATTGCGCAGGATGAAGTTAAGATGCTTGTAAATATATGCAAATCCGTAGCCAGTAAATGTAAAATGAATATTTTAGCAGAAATAGTAGATAATACAAGACTCTTTACTGGTTAGAAGTTAAATCAAAAGTATTTTTTATGTTTCACATGACTAAATTGGTTTTTTACTTGCTTGGATTATTCAGATTGTTCAAGGAAAAATGGAATAATTCAACTATAATAGTATATTTATTTTTTTGTAATCAATTACTTAATGATTTTGTAATGAATGTTTAGTGGTTTGGCTATCGATATACACAAATATTCTAATACATATTAACATATTTACTTTTTATCAACACCACCAACATCCACAGCTGGATCTAAAACAAAAATGTAACATACATAACATCATTTTAACAACGTGTACAAATATTCATATAATATTTATGTGAAATATACACAATTTTTGTAATAGCTCTTGCATATAAAAATGACAAAAATATTTGTATGATAAACATATAAATGAAAATTGCGTACCAACAAATTTAAACTGAGGAAATTGTGTCATGTCTACTCCTTTGTCACCACCATATTGCACATTCAGTTTATCTATTTCGGACTGGTGTTCTTTTAGTATTTCTGGACCAGCGTCAACTAATTTTCCACCTCTTAAATTAAAAATAATTCTTTGTGGTGTAAAACTGATATATATAATTTTGTATTTTGATTATTCTTCTACGTATAATGTAATTTATAACAAGATAATTACAAAAATAGTTGCACTAATTAATTAAATATTTAAATTAAAGTAAGGGATTAATATTTAAATTCAATTTATTCTAATCAAGTGTTGCTTATATTTTAAACATTTTATTTCATTTTCTAAAATTACCGCATACATATAATGACCAAAAAGAGATGCACTTACGTGCTTTTCGACTTATACTCCCTAAGTTTGTCGAGAAACAGCTGTTGTATGGGATCAGTTGCTTTCTGCAATGCTGGGATATTAGTACTAATATTACGCTTAACAGTTTTTGGCAAATTGATGAGACGTGACCTCAGCATGATGGTCTGAAAAAAAGAAATAATTTTTATTCTTTTTTACAGAGAATTTATAAATATACAATTTAGAAATGCTTTTCTTGATACACATAACTAGGACATTGCATCAATAATTTGTATTTATTGTATAAGTAAAAAAAATTAATTGTTGACAATTAAAGATTTGTCTTCAACTGTCAACAAGTAATTTTATTCTTATGCAACAGATACATGTGAACAATTAGAAGAAATTATTTTTTGACAATTAAAGATATAAATATATATATATAAATATCGATTTTAATTATACTGATACAAATCAATGGTTTATTAAATCTCTTACGTAATAAATACAAAATGACACTTATTAAGGTTAAGTTCGTCTTTAGGACGAATTGAATTCAAATGCATCGATTAAATACATTTACTCGTCAACCGCAATAATATAATATTATAAAACTTTAATATTATATTAATAATATACATCGATTAATAATTACTTTTTTTAGCACCTACAATTCTCCGAATTTTCTTCTCGAACACACAAGCTTACTATGAAAGAAACTAGAGGACGAAAGGTGTCCTAGATGTGTAAAGTCACTAGATTAACAAAGTACCGCAATTTTGGGAGCGTCACGTTGCGATTGACCACAGCCAATTATATCGACCTGTGCCTATGGTAACCAGCAACGATTAACCAATCAGAGAGTCCTATTTTAAATTGGCCAATTGGCGACGTGGTCAATCGGATGCCACCCGTAAACATAATACATGCATATGCGCCAACAGCTCTTTTAAGAAAATACTGAGGACTGAAACAGTTTCACCAACTGGTCAATTGACGAGTTTTTTGTATCAGTGATTGGTAGAACTGTCTCATATGAAATAGTTAAATTGAACTTTTTTGAAAAGTTTATTCGTCATTGTCGCGATATTAACGTCCGGAATAAGTAGAATATATCCGTAAGTTATATACAATTTTATTATTAATAAATAGTTGATTGCTCTCGAAATACGATACTCGATTATACGATACAGAAATCAAAATTATAAATGATTACTTTGTTGCAATCTTTACGAGCAATGATTATTCTTCTATTTCTATTTCGTTTCTATTCTAATATATATGTGTACACACACACACACATTTAGAATTCTAATATAATAAATAAATATTCTCTCTGATATTATTTGATCTAAATATAATTTGATTCAGAACGCACAATAAAACGATCGAATAAAAATTGTAAATGTCAAAAAATGCTCGCGCGAATATTATAGTTATGAATATATAAAAATAAATGCAATATACTATGAATTTTCTACGTTATATATTGAATCAAAATTGCATAAAAGAGGAAAAGAAGAACAAGCCTATGAATAGACATTTTCATCCTTTACTAAAAGAAAAAGACATTAAAAATATCTCTCAATTTTTTCTCCATTTCTTCGGGCAAGTCTACATATATGACCAATATGATTAATTGATTCTATCTTTATATATTTATCATTATGTGCTTTCAGAAATCAAAGTTGCGCGAACGTTGAGCACAGGAATGGCCATGCGCAGTGGTTCGGCCGCCATGTTGGCGCGTGACTGCGACGTCACAGCTACGTCACTGCTACGTCATACGCGTCATACGGCCGCCATGTTGGCGCGTGAATCGGAGTCATACGCAGTTACACGAATCGTCGTACATCCGCATTTTTCTCATCTTTTAATCGTTTTTAAACGAATATCGCGAGTGAACGAGCGTCGAGAGTGTCCAAGGATGATCGCGCGACTTTTATAGTGTGTCGATGGAAACGCGCGACAGCGATTTTTGACGATATTCAGTGATGACGTCATTGCGAAGATGGAGCGAAATTGCGTCGCGTTATTCGGGCCCTTGATGATGATTATCGGATGCGAGCGAGTATCGGGAGTGCCGAATAAAGTGTCGCGCGTTCGCGTTGATGATATCGTGTGGATTTGTGTGCATCAAGATCGGAATGGGACGTCCCGAGGCGAGCGAACTGTTTCGAGGAGGAGCGGCCTGTGGAACAGCCGGTGAGTAGATTTGATTTATCATATTTGCGAGATAATTCGTGCTCATTCGACGCTTATACAGCATCGCGATGTCCCGAATTACATTCGGACAAATCGACATCATAATTCGATTCGATGCAATTCAAATAAAGTCGATCGCGTGAAGATGGTTATGCTAGAAGCGCTTTCAAATTTATTTTGTACGCGCGCGCAATGCTGCACAGCCTATCTCGTAGGGCTGCCAACTGTTAAACGATAAATTTGTTTGATCTAACCTAACCTAACCTAACCTAATCTCTCAGTGTCTATGGATATCGAATGTAAATATGCTGCCTGGATTGTATCATGCTTTCAAAAATAATATTTAATTATTTCATTAGTGTATTACATTTTATTACGTAGTATATTAATCGCATTAAATGTGCGACGTACAGTTTTACACATTTTAATGAGGAGCATATAATATAATTGGTTAGATTAAATTAAAACAAGCTGCTGTGATTTATTTAACGTAATAGGATTAATTTGACGAATGTGCAGCTATTGAAGTTACATGATATTTGTGGACACATTTTTAAAGTAATCATGAGTGTCTTATCTCATCTCGATTACATAAAATTAAAATATAAAATTTATGTATTCCACATTAACGTTTTTCATTACAAGTACTATATTATTTTTCTTATATCTCAATTGTATTATCACATTATTTCATCGATGAAGCTTTTCATATATCGCAGACAATATGATACTGTGTGTGGAATTTTACACAGGTAATACGTGGCACAAAAATAATTTGCTCTCAAGTATTGTGCGCATTTCTTAAAAATAAATCAAATTAAATTATTTTCAGAATCCAAACATCACTACATTGCCAGGATTGTATCTTATTATAACTGCGATATTATCACCTTTTAATGTGTGTGCGCAGTGTTACATACATAAAATATATAAATTTATTTGAAACGTACTGAAATCTTTATCTTATTTATAATATTCATGATATTATAAAAGAAAATTGCAACTCTAATGAAACAGAGCGGTGGAATAATTGGTTGATACTTATGCTGGTCTACAATATTTACCCTTTTTTCACCATTAGACTTTTGGTGCTTTTTTTATTATACAGATGTTATCTGTAAATATAGTACTCGTAATGTTGTTTCTGTATCACTGTAAGCATACAAAAATGATAGCATTGGCAGGTAATTATGTTATACTTATATATCGTAAGAAAGAGAAAATAAAATTAAAGTTGAATACTGAATGTGCTCTAAAGTAAATCTCATCTAAATAAATAAATGCATAAATGTGCGCCCCACATTCCTCATGAAAAAAATACATAATATTAATCTTTATGTATTATTATTTTTAGATTTGTTTTTTATTCTTTTAAATTCTCTAGATGCACTTTTCATTTCTCCTCTCTTTCTTTCCAACTACTAAATATAGATCTATCATTTTTAATAGATCTGTCATTTTTAGTGTACATTAATGCAGTAAGTGGAATAAAGAGCAAATCTTTTGGCACATTTAAAATGTACAGGAAAGTCAGTTTTATCTGATGCGTTTTTTTCAGTAGAAATATCTGAAAAATTCATACGTCTTTTTTAATCTTAATCTTTCTAAATAAAAATTAGAATAATAAATTTGCAAAATAATTTGCTTTAATATATTTTTATTGCAAACATGAAGCAAAGTGCTCAAGGTGCATCACTATGAAAACATCGATAGAATAAAAAGTAGATCGTATACAAAAAAATTAAAATATTTACACTACATATTTGATATAGCATTTAATCGATATGTGCAGTAATACGATAAAATCTAATTTTCTCTCGAATTTTTTCACGAAATTTAACCTACTAAGAAAATATCAAACATACAAATTGTTCAATAGTCTTGCGAAAGAAGCAGTTCTCGCTTAAAGAATCTTTAGAAAAAAAGTAAAAAAATTCTAAAGAAAAAAAGGGACAAAAAATTTTAAATCTCACATCGATATTTAATTTTATACTAATATTTTTAATGTAACACTTCATTTATAAAGATTTTATTTTGTGAAACATTTATACATAAAAGTACAATGATTATACGGCTTCTTTAATCTATTGTTTCATTTTCGCATGATTTTCGTTTATAAAATATTTGTGCCTCTGGATACTTTTCTCTGGAAGCTTTATGCAATGTGTGTAACCTAAATCTGTTAACGTACAAGTATTAGAGTAACGAAATAAGCATATGTAATTTGATTAAAAATACGTTTCTTACATGAATTTTTAATTACATATTTTATCATACTACAAATAAAAAAATCATTCTTGCGCGACGTGATTCTAACAATTTACCGACATGCACAAAATGATGACTTTACCGGCAGTCGAAGTATCTTGACTACGTAATTTTGGCGTTTAACGTGAATGCAGATGGCGATACTAAACAGCAAAGAAAGATGGCTGCATGAGTGAAACGCGAGGCGCGAAATATTGCATTTCGTTATCGTTCTTTGCGAAAAAAATGTGCGAAAGAGTTGTACACTTATTCACGATTAATAGTTTGGTGTTGATGAATACAAATCGACGCAAGTATAATTTGTCGTGCATTGCATATTTCTTCAAATTCTGTACATGCATCGTTTTCGAATCGTCCTGATCGCACGTTCCGATAATACAATGATCCAAAAAAAATCGTCGAATATATTTCGTACGATTAGAATCGTGCACAGTATCGACTTTTATTTATTTGAAGAGCGATATATTTTTGTGCGGACATTTATCGAAAGGAATGCACGTGTTTCTCCAAATTGAGATGAGATAAGATTGCAAAATATCGAAGCTTTATGCAATGTATGTGTGTCCTAAATCTAAAGGAGGACATCTGGAAAAATATCGGACAGCTAGAGAGCAGTGAGAGAGCCTGAGCAGCCAGAGAGATATGCGGTGAGTAATTTTTAATTACATATTTTGTTATACTACAAATAAAAAAATTATGCTTGCGCGACGTGATACTAAAACAATTTACCGACATGCACAAAATGATGACTTTACCGGCACTCGAAAAGTATGTTGACTATGTAATTCTGGCGTTTAACGCGAATGCAGATAGCGATACTAAACAGCAAAGAAAGATGGCCGCATGAGTGAAACGCGAGGCGCGAAATATTGCATTTCGTACATCGTTCTTTGCGAAAAAAATGTGTGAAAGTGTTGTACGTATTCGCGATTAACAGTTTGGTATTGATGAATACTAATCAACGCAAGTATAATTTGTCGTGCATTGGATATCTCTTCAAACTCTGTATATGAATCGTTTTCGAATCGTTCTGATCGCACGTTCCGATAACACAGTGATCCAAAAAAAATCGTCGAATATATTTCGTACGATTAGAATGGTGCACAGTATCGAGTGACTTTTATTTATTTGAAGCGCGACGTATTTTTGTGCGGACATTTATCGAAAGGAATGCACGTGCTTCTCCAAATTGAGATGAGGTGAAGATTGCAAAATATCGAAGCTTCATGCAATGTGTGTAACCTAAATCTGTTAACGTACAAGTATTCGAGTAACGGAATAAAAGATAAAGATTTTAAGATCGTACAAGTTCGATCGTATGATATATATGTATATATTAATATCAATCTTTATTATATATTTATATATTTATTTATTTATGAGTCTTCTTTTTCTTTTTCTGAACATCATTTATTTATTTATTTATTTATTTATTTATTTAGTTCGCTCTCAGTCCTTTAAAATGCAAAAGTAAATATTATAAGATTTGACTTTAGAAAAGCGCGATAAAACAATTGAATCATTCGTAATTCATATCATTAGCATAATATACTATGAATTTTCTACGTTATATATTGAATCGAAATTGCGCGAAAGAGGAAAAAAAGAACAAGCCTATGAATAGACATTTTCATCCTTTACTAAAAGAAAAAGAAATTAAAAATATCTCTCAATTTTTTCTCTATTTCTTCGGGCAAGTCTACATATATGACCAAAATATGATTAATTGATTCCATCTTTATATATTTATCATTATGTGCTATTAATTAAAGCCGTAGACAATTTTCAGAAATCAAAGTTGCGCGCAGGAATGGCCATGCGCAGAATGCGCAGTGGTTCGGCCGCCATGTTGGCGCATGACTGCGACGTCACTGCTACGTCAAACGCGTCATACGGCCGCCATGTTGGCGCGTGAATCGGAGTCATACGCAGTTACACGGATCGTCGTACGTCCGCATTTTTCGCGTCTTTTAACCGTTTTTAAACGAATATCGCGAGTGAACGAGCGTCGAGAGTGTCCAAGGATGATCGCGCGACTTTCATAGTGTGTCGATGGAAACGCGCGACAGCGATTTTTGACGATATTCAGTGATGGCGTCATCGCGAAGATGGAGCGAAGTTGCGTCGCATTATTCGCGCCCTTGATGATGATTATCGGATGCAAGCAAGTATCGGGAGTGCCGAATAAAGTGTCGCGCGTTCGCGTTGATGATATCGTGTGAATTTGTGAGCATCAAGATCGGAACGGAACGTCCCGAGGCGAGCGAATTGTCCCGAGGAGGAGCGGCCTGTGGAACAGCCGGTGAGTAGATTTGATTTATCATATTTGCGTGACAATTCGTGCTCATTCGACGCTTATACAGCATCGCGATGTCCCGAATTACGTTCGGACAAATCGGCGCCGCATCATAATTCGATGCGATGCCGTGCAATTCAAATAAAGTCGATCGCGTGAAGATGATTAAACTAAAAGCGATTTCAAATTTATTTTGTATACGCGCAGTGCTGCACAGCCTATCTCGTAGGGCTGCCAACTGTTAAACGATAAATTTATTTGATCTAACCTAACCTCTCAGTGTCTTTGGATATCGAATATAAACACAAGCGTACGCTGCCTGGATTGTATCATGTTTTCAAAAATTATATTTAATTATTTCATTAGTGTATTACATTTTATTACGTAGTATATTAATCGTATTAAATGTGCGACGTACAGTTTTACACATTTTAATGAGGAGCATATAATATAATTGGTTAGGTTAAATTAAATTAAAACAAGCTGCTGTGATTCATTTAACGTAATAGGATTAATTTGACGAATGTGCAGCTATTGAAATTACATGATATTTGTGAGCACATTTTTAAAGTAATCATGAGTGTCTTATCTCATCTCGATTATATGAAATTAAAATATATATGTATTCCACATTAACGTTATTCATTACAAGTACTATACAGAAAAGTATATTACTTTTCTTATATCTCAATCATATTCAACCATTTATTTCATCGATGAAGTTTTTTATATATCGCAGACAATATGATACTGTGTGTGGAATTTTACACAGGTAATATGTGGCACAAAAATAATTTGCTCTCAAGTATTGTGCGCATTTCTTAAAAATAAATCAAATTAAATTATTTTCAGAATCCAAAAATCGCTACATGGCCAGGATTGTATCTTATTATAACTGCGATATTATCACCTTTTAATATGTGTGCGCAGTATTACATACATAAAATATATAAATTTATTTGAAACATATTGAAATCTTTATCTTATATATAATATTCATGATATTATAAAAGAAAATTGCAATTCTAATGAAACAGAGCGGTGAAATAATTGGTTGACTTATGCTGGTCTACAATATTTACCCTTTTTTCACCATTAGACTTTTGGTGCTTTTTTTATTATACAGATGTTATCTGTAAATATAGTACTCGTAATGTTGTTTCTGTATCACTGTAAGCATACAAAAATGATAGCATTGGCAGGTAATTATGTTATACTTATATATCGTAAGAAAGAGAAAATAAAATTAAAGTTGAATACTGAATGTGCTCTAAAGTAAATCTCATCTAAATAAATAAATGCATAAATGTGCGCTCCACATTCCTCATGAAAAAAATACATAATATTAATCTTTATGTATTATTTTTACATTTGTTTTTTATTCTTTTAAATTCTCTAGATGCACTTTTCATTTCTGCTCTCTTTCTTTCCAACTACTAAATATACTACTAATCTATCATTTTTAATATAGATCTGTCATTACTGATACTTGTCACACCCTTTCATAATTCATCTTCAGGTCCTATAGAACAAAAGCACAGTGAAATACAAACTATTTTCTACTGTAAATATAAACTATTATCAAAAAGCTATATCCATAAAAGTTCTACTTACTATTCGCAAAGAACATAGAGTTTCTCACATTATTTAATAAAGTGACTATTTTTAATAAATGTGAATGACTGACAAGCAATAAATTAAACAATATTAAACAATAATATATACCTGAAAAAAATTTCATAATTTTATTAGAATTAAATTGATAAATTAATTTTAAATACATATTATATGTTAATTACATATAATGAGTTAGAGACAATGATATATTTCATTTGTGTTACCATTGTTTACAGATTGAACATTTTTTATCAAATTATTTACAACTCTAAATATGTAGTATACGACAAGCCATTTTTAAAATCTATAAAACAAACAACAAAGTTGTTCATAGTTTTCACTCTTTTTTGTCATAGTCTGCTTTTAGGCGATCTTAAAGTCACTAGATTAACAAAGTACAGATAAGCTGGAGCAAAAATGGTAAATTCTTTTGCTCTGATTGGTCAATAAAACGCTCGTGATTTAATCCTCCATTATTGACATTTTCTAGGGATTTTTGAAAGAAAGGGTTTGACAGCACTGACGTCACAGGCAGGATTTCCGGTAGCGGAAGATCTCTGTCATATCGAGTCGCGTTGTGGCCCGTTCGTCGATGCACGACAAGTTCGACCGGATAGAAGTATGACAGAAGTGGACGTAGTGGTGCTGGACGATCCCGTCCCGAAGGAGGAGGTGGCGCACTTCCTGGCGCCAGCGATCCAGCACAACCCGGACGGCTGGGGCCCGTGCGAGCTGCCCGATCAGTTTAAGGACATTCCTTACCAGCCATTTTCGAAGGGAGACAGGCTGGGCAAGGTAAGCATGTGTCAGACGTATTCGGATCCTTTATCTTCCTCCACCTGTCAAACAGCCTTATTTATGTCTTTCTCGTTGTAGATCTCCGACTGGACGACACCGGCCTTCCAGGATAAGAAATTCCCAAGTACGTATCTCTTCTCTGTGACTGAGGTTCTCTTAACCTCAACAAGCTCTCAAGGTATCGAGGACTCGCGGTTTCCTTGGTATTTTTGCATATGTTGTATTTGATTGATGATAAAAGGTTCTCGTGCGATTAAACAAGGCTATGGATTCTGGGGAAGGAAGATTCAACAGATGCCTATCGTGCTTGATGTATCATATCAAGTTTTAATTGTTATAATTTTTTTCTATATTATTTCTACAATTTTTCTCTAATCTCTAATTTTCTCTATAAACTTTTCTCTAATTGTTATAATTTTATTGAAATATGAAATTTAATTTTAAAATATGTACATGATTGGATAGCGTATAGTTAATATTTTTATGAAAAAGTATATCAATATTATAACTTAATCTCTTAAATTATATTTACGATATTCAAGATGTTCTACCTATTTTATATAAACAGAATAGGTTTATAAGACTATTATTAATTAATATGATTACATATTTGTTTTGATTAATAATATATAACACATATAATATTAATAATATAATAATAATATGATATAATATATAATATATATAATATTAATAATACAATAATAATTGATTACATATTTATTTTGATATTTTTAATGATTAGATCTATTTTTGTTTTACCTAAAGATTTATAACAAGTATAGTTTTATAACTTTCTATTATATCATATTTGAAAGTAAATAGTTTTCTAACTTTCTACTTCATTGTAAGAAATTATAAGAGTATCATAAAGATTAGAGAAAAAGTATATTAATATTATAACTTAACCTCTTAAATTATATTTACGATATTCAAGATGTTTTCTCTATTTTATGTAAACAGAATAGGTTTATAAAACTATTATTAATTAATATGACATTTATTTGAATTTTTAATGATTAGATCTATTTTTGTTTTATCTAAAGATATATAACAAGTATAGTTTTATAACTTTCTATTATATCATATTTGAAAGTAAATAGAGTCTTGTAACTTTCTACTACAATATAAAAAATTATAAGAGTATCGTAAAGATTTTTTTTGAACAAAATATTTATCAATTTAATATATATTAGTTAATCTAATTATTTGTAAAATATTATATTAATATTATATTAGTTTAATCTGCTTATTTGTAAAAAATAGATCATAATAGTTGTATATAACAATCAGAGTACATTTTACTATCTTGTTTTTTAATCAATTAATAAATTTCAATTAATTTTATATTTGATATACTAAGATTGTCTGATAAATGATATATTTTCCTAGACAAATATACATCGCAGTTTGGTTCCGGTAGTCAGTATGCTTATTATCACGACGAAGACGAGACCACTTTCCACTTGGTGGACACCACTCGCGTGCAGAAACCACCGTATCAACGTGGCCGCTTCCGTCACAACCAGCGCAACTTACGCGGTCGTGGCGGTCAACGTGGCGGGCTGAGTCAAATGCAGCAGCTAGGAAAGCTCAAGTTGCGAGAACGGGAGCGTAAGGGACAAGCGAAGCGCTGGGGTAGACAGCAAGGTCTGCGTAATCACAAGAATCAACCCCCCATCAAGATTCGAGACGCCTCCGTGACGGTGCGGCCCGACTGGATTACCATCGAGGAGATGGACTTTCCGCGATTGGCCAAGCTCTCGTTGCCTGGCGTGAAGGATGGCGAGGATATACTGTGCTGCGGTTCCCTCGAATATTACGACAAGACGTATGACCGCGTGAACGTCAAGAGCGAGAAGCCGCTGCAGAGAATCGATCGCATCTTCCACACGGTCACGACCACCGACGATCCCATCGTCCGTAAGCTGTCGAAGACCGAGGGTAACGTTTACGCCACCGACGCGATTCTGGCAACCATCATGTGTTGCACGCGCAGCAACTACTCGTGGGACATCGTCATCGAGAAGATCGGCGACAAGCTGTTCTTCGACAAGCGCGACAACACCGAGTTCGATCTGCTGACTGTGAACGAGACGAGCGTCGAGCCGCCGCAGGACGACGGGAATTCGTTGAACTCGCCGAGGAACCTCGCCCTCGAGGCGACCTTTATCAATCACAATTTCTCGCAGCAGGTCCTCAAGTCGAACGAGCCGCGCTACAAGTTCGAGGAGGGCAATCCGTTCATCTCGGAGGAGGAGGAGAGCGATGTGGCAAGCGTGGCTTATCGTTATCGCAAGTGGGACCTCAACAACGGCATCGTCCTCGTCGCCCGATGCGAGCACGACGCCGTGATGCAAGGCCCCAACAACGAGAACCAATTCTTAACGATTAAGGCATTGAACGAATGGGACTCAAAGCTGGCTAATGGAGTCGAGTGGCGTCAGAAGCTGGACACCCAGCGCGGCGCGGTTTTGGCCAACGAATTACGAAATAACGCCTGCAAACTCGCCAAGTGGACGGTTCAGGCGTTACTCGCTGGCTCGGATCAGCTGAAATTCGGATACGTGTCGCGGGCTATAGTACGAGACTCGAGCAAGCATGTAATCCTTGGTACGCAGCAGTATAAACCGAACGAGTTTGCGACACAAATCAACTTGAACATGGACAACGCATGGGGTATCTTGAGGTGTATCATTGATATTTGTATGAAGCAGAAGGACGGCAAGTATTTGATAATGAAGGATCCGAATAAGCCAATGATTCGGTTATACGATATTCCTGATAATACCTTCGAGAGCGAGGGTGAAGAGGACGAGGACGACGATGAACCTGTTAATGACGCGTTTCAAAGTTAATAGCAACAACACAAATATCATCCTTAATCGTGCATTTGATCGGCCCGAATCTTTGTAGAGATACAGGAGAGAGGAGTTCTTGCAAAGAAAATAAATGAGGAGATTTAAGCACAATTTAATGCGGAGCTTTATTATCCAAGTCTTGATAAAATTAATTAATATTAATTAGATTTCTTAGTTCAAGATACTTTTGTTAAATAGACACACTCGAAACAATACAAAACATATATTCAAAATATATAGTATAACTTAAAAGCATTGATCTGATACGCAATAAAAATCGGATTGAATTTGCAACGCATATCAACTAAACATGAATAACTCGTGGGATATTCTGAGGTATGTCGCTGATATTTGTGTGAAGCAGGACAGCAAATATTTAACAATGAAGGACTTCAATAAGTATGATTATATGATATTGCTGATATCTTTGAGGATGAAGAGAAAAATGATGAATCTGTTAACGACGTGTTTTAAAGTTAACAACGCGAATAATATATTAGTCTTTAATTGATCATGCGATTGGCGCTTTTATTCGAGTTTACAGGAGAATTCTTGCAAAGGAAATTAATTGTTTAATACATTCAACATGATTAAACTTTAATAATGCAATATATTATACATATATTGCTATAAAGAAATACATATAGAAATACATAAGAAATACCTATATTATACATATATTGCTATAAAGAAAAATTCTAAATTTCTTAAAGAAAATTTTTGCATTTATCAAATTTTGCAAAAAGTTGCATTATTAAATGCCAATGCTTATCAGTAAAAATATTGTATATATTTGAATGACATGATCACAAACTTTTATTTAAAATAAAAAAAATTTGATAGAAGATTTGGAACAATATTATTGAGAAATAGTAGTAATAGTATAAATAAAATAAAGTTTCACATTATATTAAACAAAATATATTTGAATCTTTTTTTCATTTGTATTTTCATTAATATATAAAACTATATAGTTACTATTCAAATATATATACATATTTTTATATATAATATATTTCTCTTTATGGGAAATTCTCTTTATTTAATAAATTGGCATTTTTTTAGAAATTACGAAGAATTCTGTACTTGAGGATCCAACAGTTTGATAACATATTTTAATTTACGTATAGCAGCATCTACCATCGAATCATCAATGTCATAATGAAGTACCAATCTGACTAGAGTTTCCGACAAAGCCATGCATCTGATTATAATCTTATCATCTTTATCAGAATCATCGACTTGATGGAGTCTCTTCATGAGCGTCACGGCGGATACTCCACCGTCGACATCCACGTTTATGAATATCATATTGGTTTGCACGGTTTTCATGTTTACGCTAAATACTTTGGAATTTAATTGATTAATCGCCTGTGCGATCGCTAGTGCTCTTTTATGATCCTCCGCTAATCGCGGTACCGTTTCTTCCAGAGCGACGATTCCGGCTGCGGCGATTACGCCGACCTGTCTCATCGCGCCACCAAGTACTTTGCGTCTCCTCTTTGCGTCAGCGATGAAACTCTTGCTTCCGCAGAGCATGGATCCTATAGGAGTGCCTAATCCCTTGCTCAGGCAAAAAGATACCGAGTCGAATGGAGCGACTAATTCCTTCACCGAGATCCCCGAAGCGACTGAGGCATTCCACAATCGCGCCCCGTCCAAATGCGTCCTGAGATTATGCTTCCTCGCCACCACCATCAACTCCTCGACCCACGACTGGGGTATTATTTTACCGTTAATTGTATTCTCCACGAGGATCAACTTGGAGATCGGTTCATGTATGCGATCCGTGCGGATCGCGCTGTCCAGTTTCTTCAGATCAAATGTACCGTCCTCCTTATTTGGCAAGGTACAAAGGCTCACACCAGCTATCTGCGCGGCAGCACCCTGTTCATGAAGAAACACGTGCGACTCGTCTCCGCAGTAAGCTTCACTGCCGCGTACGTTGCAATGATTCATGACTGAAAGAGGAGGAGGTGAGTGTATTTTTTGAAAAAGCGCAAAAATGTTTTATATAAAATATTATATATAAAATATATATAATTTTTATATAAATGTTTTTTATAAAATTATAATTTTTTAAAAAATACACATATGTTTAAATATTTAAATTATTGCTCGTATTGGCCTTCTTGATAAGATTATTTGTATTTATTTAGAAATTTAACAAAGATAGAAACCAAAAAAAGGACTATATTAAATATAAAGATATTAAAGATAAATTTGATTATAAATTTTGAAAGCATATTATTTTAAGAAAATCACATAGAGGATAGAAATTATCTCTATCAATTCTCTCTCTTACCAGCAATTATAACTCCCATAGTACCAGAACTAACAAAGAGTGCATCTTCTTTTCCAAGCAACGCCGCTGCTTTTTTCTGTAATTCTAAAAAGTGATATAAATATTTGATTATTGTTAAAATTTCGCGCTTATACAGGTTCAAAAAATCATAATTGAGAGAATAATTTCTCAAACAACACAAAAAAGTATCAAAACATCTTGAATACATCTGAAGGACGATAAGACGTCTTAAAGTCATTTTTTAGATCTTTAGAGACATGTGTTTAAGTTCTTGTGTGTGCAAAAGATGAAGATAAATTAATTGATTTTGTTTTATACATTTTTTAAAATTACCTTTTACCGTAGGGTCTTCTTCAAAAACGTCATCCCCCACTTCGGCCTCAAACATAGCCTTCCTCATTGCCGCGGTTGGTTTTGTAAGCGTGTCACTTCGTAAATCAACGATAATAGCCTAGTGTAATCATACACTTAACTCATTTTAGTAGCGGTTCTCACAAAATAATATTCGAATGAAATTTAGCTGAGAAATTTAGCCAAGAAGCACTTGGTCCACAGAAAAATTTTTAGACAAAACTCTCTTTTTGTAAATATTACTTGGAAACATTACATTATCCGACAATTTGAAATATTTACGAGATATTATGTGAAAGGATTTATATAATGTTTATATAAAATTAATATTTCCAGTAATAGATTTAGGTAAAAAAAGTTTGTTATATTAAAAAATATTTAATACAATTGATGAAAGCAATATTAGGAGCAATAATACGAGCAATAAGCAACAATATTAAATAAATATGAGAAATAATAGAATAATACAATAATTACAGTGAATAAATAATTCAAGTTCACCAATATTATTTTGCGAGACTTAAATATGTGTTTATTTTTTTCAGAAAGACAGGTAAAGATATAAACACATATATATTTAAGTCTTGCTTAAATCTAAAATGTTGGTGCAACCTGGGCTTAATCGTAAAATAAGGCTGAAAGTTGAAACTCCTTTTGATAATATCAACTCATCTTAATAACATTATGATATAATAATGATATCATGTAAAAATTCTTAAACATATTTATCGCTCGCGTGCGTATTGATTTTTATCGACTCTATTAAATATTTTTAAATATTTTCAGATATTTTATTTAATGAATCTTTTTCCATTTCACTTACATTTTTCTCCTTCGCGTAATCAAAAATGCCTTCGTTTATTGCACCGTAAGACATGTCGTTGATGTATTAACACGTACGATGTGTAGCAAGCTTACTTTCTTGATTGACAGTGACCTCTTTGATAACGAGCGTTTATATACAATTTCGTGACTATGTATGATAAGCTATATGAAACCTCATCTAACAACAGAAATACATATGTTTCTCATGCTTGATTATATATCAATCAGAAATATATATTTTATAGAAAATTTATTGATAATATTTTTTCTGGAATAATCTGAATCAATCAAAGATAATGATATATTGATATCAATTAAGATTAAAGTAGTAAATAAAAACATAATATGTATGTTAAATTACATCAGTGAATAAAGTTGTCAATTTCACACATATATGTGTGCATATATAATTTTAAGGAAATTGACAACTTTATTCACACTGATATAATTTAACATACATATTATATTTGTTTTTATTCACTACTTTATAATATAATTTAATTTAATTTATAATAATTTAATTTAATTTAATTTATAATATAATTTAATATACACAATTGCAGTCTCTTTATATTAGAAACTCCTAATCTTAATTGATATTAATATATCATTGGATATCATTATTGTTGATTCATGGATATCATTATTGTTGATTCATTATTTCAGATTATTCCAGAAAAAATCAATTATCAATAAATTTTCTATTGGATAAATTGTTGCAAAAGTATTAGAACGTCATAGATAAATAATAATAGTAAATAATAGTGAAGAAATAAATGATGAAACATATAGATAAGTATGACATACTTATCTATATGTTTTACAATTTATTTCTTCACTATTATACTCATGAGAGACTTGCATGATTATTGATTAGAAGATCGAAAACTATATATTTTTATATGGAAATAATTTAAAAGTATTTTAATATTATTTATATGGATTTTTTAATATTATATAATTTTTTATTATATATATAAATAATATTAATATATTTATTTAATTATATAAAATTTAATATTAACACATAATTTTATTTTTCCTATGTGTTTTTAATGTGAAAAACAAAAAACTTTTCCATCAATCTAATACTTGCTGTATTATTATTATTATTATTTCTTTCTTAATTCTTTAGCCTTTAGGTGGTTTCCCATTTATATTTATTAATTTGCTGAATTATAACTTTGAACCGAGTGAAAACAGTGAATATCATAAATAAATAATTCTAGTAAGAAGATATAAAATTGTATAAAAATCATGCTGAAACACACATGAGAACGTGCATGAATTATATGATTGTTGGTTTCGAAAACTTATTTTTAGATAGATAAAATTTAATCTACTTGAATTATATAATTTTTTTCAAACTTTCACACACATATGGCAAGCACTTTGAGATGCTCAATTTTCAACAATATATGAAGATCATGAAGCATGTATCTAGATACGTGTTCGACTCTGAAATGTCAGAAATGAAAGGCGTAGTGAGACTTTTTTTGCATTTATATACATGATTAGAGATTATTTCGTAATTAGAACAATTATTTTCGTCCAAACAGATGCTTGTTACATTTCAGTTATGTACGTGTTATATAATATTAATAATTGCTACTTGATATATTTAATAATATATTTAATATCTATCGAATTTATTAACATTAATTGCAACATAAATCATTGATAATTTATTCGTACACTATTTATATTTAATTTAAGTCTGTTCAAAATCGGTCACGTGTCGAATGACAATCGTTTATAGATGCGCAAAGAAATTGTGGCGCTCAAATTCGCTTTCCTATTGGTGCGTTCGTCTTGTCACTATAAGACTGAAAGCGTTGGACCAATCAGGTTGAAGATACGCCTCGATTGGTCCCCCTCTTGGGACCAATCGCGTTCTGTCAAACGGACCAACGGATTTATTCTTTGTAGCTGAACCTCTTGTATCTCCGATCGCATTTCGGAATCACTCTAGGTATCGATAAATCGAAACTCTCGCGATTATCCGCATATCCCTAGTACATCCGGTGGGACTCGGCGGAGGAAGGACGCGGGTCGGCCGCAGGTGCTCGACGACGGTCAGTGACAGTTGCGATCGGCGCGTTCGAGGTGTACGTAAAGAGGGACCGAAGGAGAATCAGGAGGAGGAGAGAGAGAGAGAGAGAGAGAGAGAGACGGAAGGCAACTCGACTCTGGGCGGACGAGAAAGACGAGAAAGACGCGGAGACTTCCTCCCTTACCCCCTCCCCCTCACTCTCGTCTCTCTTCCCGAGGAAGGCGAGAAGCTCCGGGCTAACCGGCTCGCTCGCTCGCGAGGAGGGCGAGTCCGTCCTTCGTCGTCGCGGCAGTGGCAGTGGTAGTGGTGGTGGTGGTGCTGGTGGTGGTGGGACTCGCGCGCTCGTCGTCGGTTGCGCATCGTGGCGACAACTAGTAGCGGCAGCCGCCGTCGTCGTCGTCGTCGTCGTCGTCGTTGGACTCGGTCAGACTCTGCCCCGAGTCGATCGTCCCGAGTACGCGAGTAGAGTCATCGGCGAGTACAGAGCACGTGGGATAGAGAAAGAGATAGAGACCGAGGAGCCAGGCATCATCATCATCCATCAGCAGCAGCAGCAGCAGCTTTGCCGCTCGCTAAACAAAGATGGCGGACGTGGACTCTCGGGTAGACCGGTCCGATCCGGAGCTGCGCTTCCTGTCGGTGGACAGGAACAACTTCAACGACCCGGCCACCCAGGCGGAATGGACGCAGAAGAAGCTGGTGTGGGTGCCGCACGAGACCCAGGGCTTCGTCGCCGCCGGGATCAAGGGCGAGCGCGGCGACGAGGTCGAGGTGGAGATCGCCGAGACCGGCAAGCGCGTGCTCGTCGCCAAGGACGACATACAGAAGATGAACCCGCCCAAGTTCGACAAGGTCGAGGACATGGCGGAGCTTACCTGCCTCAACGAGGCCTCCGTCCTGCATAACCTCAAGGACCGATACTACTCCGGCCTGATCTACGTGAGTGACGATTTTTAACGTCTCTCCCTGGACGGCCTGCGACGAGTCTAGGGCCTCGATTCGATTTTCGGATCGATCAGCCTCGAGGCCCGTCAATTTAAATATAAACCCGTGCAAATACGAGGCTTCAAGCGTGTAGGAATCAAGGTCGGAGACTCGTCGTAGGCGGAGAATCTGGGAATTAATTTTATCGCCTCCCACTTGGAGGGAAAGATCGCAATGATTGAACGTTTCTTTTATTTTTTATTTTTTCTTTCTTTCTTCGTATCTCGATCTCGCACTGTTCTGCGCTTCTCTGTCGTGGCTTTATCAATGTCTAACTGTAATAAGGATTGATAGGGCCGGTGTAATGCAGGTGCGAGTGCCAGATGTCTACCGGCTTTTGCGCGAATCCCTCGGGGCCCGGTTTTCCCGACGTCGGTTAACCTTAAGGCCGATACTAAATTTGCGACTTTTTTTTCAATATTGCTGGCTACAAAATTGAAAGTTTTTTAACGCAGAAAATTGTCATTAGGCCAATTAATTTATCGACAAACTTTGTCGGTTTAATTCCTCGGCTCCCGTCTTTTTTCTTTTAAGATTAAAAGGTTAGGAAAAAATTCAAAAAGATATTCACCGGAATTGAATTATCGATTCATGTTTGTGGAGAAAATCCTCTAAATATCCTTCTTTGTATTATATATTTAAAAAAAAAACCCCGGAAAGAGATGACGAGCCCAGAATTAAAATTCCCCTTGAAATTTCGGATGAAATTAAGTTAAGGGAGAAAGAATAGAATAGAGAGAAAAATTGACGAACAGCTGGGGAAATTAATTTTCCCAGCGATTTTCGAAATGACGTAGCGCGTCTTCTCCCTCCCGGAGCGTAGAGGGGGGGGGAGGGGGGGGAGGGCTAAACTCGCGTTGCGGGATTAAATATGTTCGTCGCGATGAGTCACCCGGTGCGTGTCCGCGAGCTCCTCGAGGGCTTCGAATTCGAGTCGACGTTATTAATTCGACGGCACGGATGTTGAAAATTAATCGTCCGGATCCCCCCGCCCCCCTCCCCCCGCCTCAGCCCCCCGGCAAAATTTGTCGCGCTTATGGCCGACATTAACGCCGGCTTCAAAATATTTACGAACGCGCGATGGAGAGAGAAAAAAAAAAACGGTAGCTTCTTCCCCTCGTCAGGGAAGCTGCTAAATCAGCTCGTTATACGCATTGAATACCGGTGTTATTTGTTGAATCGTGATTTCGTTTTTTTTTTTCCTCGTTAACCGAAGATGAAGAGGAAGTCGGCAAATCGATAGCTTGGGAAGTGAAATAGAACCATATCGCGTTTATAGGTCTAAGAAGGATGGAAGGATGGAAATTTCCGTGCTAAATAATATTCCCGTTTCTTATTCGGAGAATATTAGAATTGTTGATAATTTTAAAAGAGAGAGAGAGAGAGAGGGAGAGAACTGTTGGAAGAAAAATTGAGAATAATTGTAACATTTTTATTATATTATATTAGCAAAATAATTGCACGTATATATATTTATATATTATATTAATATGTAATATAACATGTTATATAAATGTTATATAAATATTATATATATATATATTTTTTTTTTCTATTTTTATAATCTTAAAATACCGTGCAAGAAATTTCGATTTATCTGAGTGGTCAAGGTCTCCATTTATTCCTAATGATTTTGTACTAATTTCGAGAGATTAACGATATTATTACTGAGAGAAAAATTATCTTGAAATAAAAAAATATAAATTAAATTTAAATATTTAAAATATATAATAGTAAATTTAATATATATATATATATATATATATATATATATATTAAATTTACTATTAAAATATATATTAAAATATATATAAAAAATATATATATATTAAATTTACTATTAAAATATATATTAAATTTAAATTTAAAATATATATATTAAAATATATATATTAAAATATATATATTAAAATATATATATTAAAATAATAAATATATATATTTTAAATTTAAATTTAAAATATATATATTTATTATTTTAATATATATATTTTAATATATATATTTTAATCTATATATCTTATATATCTTATATATATATTTTAATATATATATCTTAAATTTAAATTTAAAATATATAAAGTATTTAAATATAAAAAAATATATATATAAATGAAAATAATGTAACTTAATATAACATGCATATTTAATTAAAATTAAATGCTTTTGCTTAAATGAAATAAACAATTCCTTCCATTTAAAGCAAAAGTTTCGAGAAAACAAATTTATTTGATTTAAAAAACATTTTCCCTCAGTGTATATCTCGGATACTTAACGACCACTATATCTCGGATACTTAAGGCTTTTGAAAATTTTCCCAATCATTTGTATCCCGGATAACGTCGTACGATTGCAGTTATTGTTGCAACTGCACGATGCCGAAACGAGAATTGATGACGACATTTTTGTCTGACGGCCGCGGAGGATTTATTAATATCAGGAGATCCGGAGTATCTCTCTCTCTCTCTTTCTCACACACCTATGCATATTCTTGCATTACATTTTTGTCGATTATCGACTCGTGCGAGGTGGCCATTCACGTTTTGAAAAATAGCACTCGGCATCGTCGAGAAATCGAGTCGCTGTCTTATTCCGACCGATGGCAGAGACCGTACAACTCTCTTTTGCTCGTAAGGCGGACTAAAGATAGCTCCCGGTTCACTACGGCTCTTGCTCGTCCTCGTCTGGAATTAATCCGCGCGCGAGATATATCGGAAATGTCGGGAGACCGAAAGAGAGACGAGAGAGAGAGAGCGAGAGAAAGAGAGAGGGAGAGAGAGAGAGAAAGGTACGTGTGTGTGTGTGTGTGCGACACGAGCAGATACGATCAGGAAAAGACGACCGGTCGCGTATCGCGTGGCGACGATTTAAATACGTAGAATATTTGCATCTCTCTCTAATAAAGAACTTAATTTGCTAGCCTCATCGTTTCTCTTTCATCGCTCTTTTTTTTTCTCTTCGCAGCCTCTTCCAACAATAAGTCTTATTTTTTGTGCGAGTTCGTCTTTCAGAATCTCGCAGTCATGTATAAAAATGCACACATTGTATATATACATGTTATATACGTGTCATATACATGTTATACACGTGTTATATACGTGTTATATACAGGGTGTCACTTAATTGGCGCCCACTATTTATGTAGCGATATTTTTTGGAATATCGCTATATAAATAGTGGACACCAATTAAGTGACACCCTGTATATTATAAATATATAATAATTATATATATATATATATATATATATATATATATATATATATACATACAGGATGTCCCAAAAGTCCCGGATCGGTTGAATATTTCATAAATTATGCACTTTTAGAAAGAAATGTTTCAGACAAAAATTGTATGGCTTGAAGGGAGCCATCAGATAGTGGCAATGATTTGACATGGGAGAGTCATTTGAAAGTCACGTGAAGATCACCGTTAATTTTTTAAATGAAACCGTCTATTTTTTATTACTTATTTTTGTAGCTTATCTTAAGAGCTTTCCAAAACACTATAATAAAGTATTTCTTCATTGAGTACTTTTCGAGTTATGAAGCTTGAAATTATTTCTTAATTTTGCATAAACCATAAAATATCTAGTAAAATATTCATTTTTCGATTATTTTACCTTAATAATTTTATGTACAAAATAATGAGAGGAATCAATTGGTGTAAAGAAAACACATAGTTGTTTTCAAAAAAAAAAATGAAATTGTTAATTGCAAATTACATATTTTTTTCTTAAAAACAACTATGTTTTTTTTTTACACCAATTGATTCCTCTCATTATTTTGTACATAAAATCATTAAGGTAAGATAATCGAAAAATTAATATTTTACAAGACATTTTACGGTTTATGTAAAATTAGGAAATGATTTCAAGCCTCATAACTCGAAAAGTACTCAATGAAGAAATACTTTATTATAGTGTTTTGGAAAGCTCTCGAGATAAGCTACACGAATATGTAATAAAAAATAGGGGGTTCCATTTAAGAAATTGACGGTGATCTTCACGTGACTTTCAAATGATTCTCCCATGTCAAATCATTGCCACCATCTGATGGCCCCCTTCAAGCCATACAACTTTTGTCTGAAACATTTCTTTCTGAAGTGCATAGTTTATGAAATATTTGACCGGTCCGGGACTTTTGGGACACCCTGTACACACATATATATATATATATATATTTTTTTTTTAATATATAATTAATATACATTAAATAAAATATATGTAATATATATATATGTATATATATATATATATATATATATATATATATATATTACATATATTTTATTTACACCATATATTTAAAGCGCGTGGGTATTTCTCTTCGGCAAGGAAACACTGCTCTCCTCTATACCGCAAGCGCGCGGCACGTCTTTGGAATGTACTTATTATGTATTACGAGATATCGCGAGATTTTTTATTCGAGGGGGAGGAGGAGGAAAAACGCGCGTATATAAAAATACGTACACGCGTGGCTGCGATGCAAAGTGCAGATAAGGTAACGAACTATCGTATGAAAATACCATGAAGAAAGTTGTTTCGCAAGAGATAATTGCAGTGTTGGAGGCAAAAACCTCTCGCGTATCCGAGCACCGGTGCTCTCGAGGGTTAATTAATATCAGGCAAAAGGCAAGCGCGCCCACGAGCTTTCGATGTTAAATACCGTCACGTACGTGGTATTATTGAATATAAATTTGGCGAGGGGGGAGGGGGAAGGCGGTAATAAACGGTGAATAAATCTTCTCTCGAGCTTTCCCGTTGCTTCTCCACAGCGACATCGTGGCTGATGGTATTCCCGTTAAAGTGAAAAAGGACGCCCGAGACTCTCGCTGGTCGCCTCGTCGAGGGTCAAGGGCGGACCTTGGGTAGGTTCAGGCATTCGAGGGTGCGACGAAAAAAAAAAAAGAAGAAAAAATGGACGGTGTCCGATGGTCATCGGGTTCGTAGAACTC